AATCAGATGCACCAAAAATATACATATATATATACATATATATATATATATATATATATATATATACCCACCCTGTTACTTGGCTCCGTGAGCTCAGTTATTTTATTCTTACATGTTGGTAAATTGTGCATTTTGTACATTAAAAGTGATTGAATTATGTTGTTTTTATCTTCAGGTTAAGGTTTTTATGCCTTTACTTTATCTGCGTGCAATAGTTGAGTTATCAACAATTTAAAAGTTATTTAAGGGAGATTAAGCCTAATTTTTTTACCATAACAGCCATATTTGCTTACATTTGAAATTTAGCAGAATAGTTTAGTTAGTAATAGAGCAGTTTAGTTTCTGCACATTCATTGTCTTTTTGCCGAATGGGACCAAAAATAAACTTTCAGTTTTGTGCACCGAAAAATCTGCCTTTTTGCACGGCGGCCTAATTGCTTCTTTTTTTGCGTAGAAACTCTAATTTTAATTGTTAAAATTATTATCCCAAAGGGGCAATTTGCCCAGAAGGGCTACTAATTTCGTTTTGGCATTTTCCGTCGATTCACTTTTGAAACTATTGAAAATAAAACGATCATGTGATCTCTGGTGATCGTTCATTCGCAATCGTGTGATATGTTTTTCCCGACAGGCCTTGCGATAAATGTTTATGTAAACTAATATTTAGAATTCGGAATGTAACGAGTATTTTTTGCTTACTAGGTTAGTTTACTCTTTATTCTTTTTCTCATATTACTCGATTAATTAGATTATATTTCAGTCTAATATGTTTATGTATGAGATGTGAATAAATGCAAAACTTGGAAGCAAAACTTGGACAACATGGTTATTCTTTAACTGTGTAATCACAGTTATTCTTTAACTGTGATATAATATTTTTTTAGTCCAAAGAGATTTCAGTCCCGAAGGACTATTGCTTTCGTTTTGGCATTTTGCGTCGGACTCATAAACGTCGGTTCACTTTTCAAACTGTTGCCACAAAATGTTAGAGTCCTGCATTATATTTGAAGAAATTAAATAATGAAAAATATGCATAAATGATTGTCTATTTCTCGCATTGTGATAAAACAATGGTACATAGAGCCATCGAATTTTGAATGACGAAATCCTACTGCGAATATGGGCATTTGAAATCCCAAATTTGGAATTTGTTTTATTATAGATTTTATATTTTGTAAAACTTTAACGAATTTTTGATTTACAAACTCAATGCTTTAAAAGCGAGAAATGGCAACGTTATATAGAAAAAAATACTTTTATCTTCAGCTCGCGAGACTGTGTATATCGGAAATTCTAAAGATATGCTTAATTTAACATTATTTTGCGATATTGCTCTTGAACTGAATTTTATGGTTTAAGTGCAAAGAACATGATATTTAATAAATAAAGGTAACACTCAAAACGTTAAAAAAACGTCCCTTTGGACGTAATTTAAAATCTGAAAAATTTCAGGTTTTTTTTTTTTTTTTTTTTCTGATATTGTTGTTGAAATGAATTTTATGGTTTAAGTTCGAAGAGTGTTTTGTGTCAAGTTAGAAGAACGTTTTGTGTGAAGTATTGTGTTACCTTTATTTAATAAATAAAACAAAACGTTAAAAAAAGCCTCTTTAGGCGTAATAAAAAATCTGAAAGCGTTCAGATTTTTTTTTTTTTTTTATTTTCTAATTGTTTTAACTGTATTTGCTTTTTCAGATTTTTCTATTTTTTTTCAATTTTTAATAAAGATATTCTGAGGTTTTATGTATCTTTGCCTTGCCGCAAAGGGAGAATTGAATTAATTGAATGAGAAGTATATCTCTAATGAAATTCGAGGAAATAAGTTTAAATGAAATGCAGCAAAAATACGCATAATTAAATATTCTGTACAAGGAAGTCATGTAGTGTACACATAATTTTTTTTTAGTTTTGTTACCCAGTTGATATTTATTGCAATAGTAAAAACGTATCAGACGAGAATTTTCTATTTCAGATTGCCAATAGAGCTGAAATCACATGTTCTTATCTAAAAATTGCATTCGTTGATTCATTTACACACCTTTACGAATTCGCAGCTTATCCTTGCTTAAAATTATAGATTATATGTGATCTAGCTGCACTTAGTCTGAGATAAACTGCTATAAAATTTAAATTCATTGACACTAATTTTCAAGATGTTTTCTCATCTTAGATTTTTCCAAAAACCGACACTATGATTTTCTTTATGTCCACAACAAAAAGGATCTTTTGTCATTCAGTTCAGTGAACTTTTATGATACATCAGAAGTGTTATATGGAACCTAGAATATTATTTGATACATTAACCTCAAAATGTAATATTTCAGCAAAATTTCACCTAATTAAATGGTTGGCAAATAATCTGTTGCTATGAACACTAAGTTTGGTAACTTTATTCATAGTTCTTATATGCTTTTCCCACACACTACTTTTTAAACTATCCATAAAATTTTTAGTTAGCACTTGTATTTTCTTCCTCCTTCTAACATGCCTTCGTGGTGTAACGCTAGCACACTCGGGCGTATTCGAGAGGTCCAGGTTTGAGTCCCGGCGAGGTCATTTCCCGTTTTTTTTTTTACATCCCGTTTTCTTTAAAATAACTTAATGACTCTACAGTACAAATTATTATTTGAAGGATTCTAGCGCTTTTTTGAAGAGGTCACTAATATTAACTCTACATGATCCACGGAAGGTCACTTTGATACTTCACTAATCTTGGATTTTGACATATTTCTTATACAAATTTCGATATGTCTATATGCAACCATGTGCTGCTGCTTTCTTTAATGAGTTTCTGCTTTTGTTATAAAAGAATAGCTTATGTCAATTATTCCAAAGCAAAATACGTTGCTTTATGATAACTTCCTTTTCCTGATGTTCCAGCATTTTGCCTACATTTTTCCATTGATATTATGAGTTCCAATCCCATCAGCTTACTTACTGCAGTTTTAAATTACCTGTTATTTAAGTGAGATAATTTGATAATTCGGAATTCCAAAACTTATCTAATTGTAATTAGTTACATAATTCCTAAATCACGTGACAATGAAATAATCAATTTCTATTTTTTCAATATAATGATTAATGAAATTTCATGAAATTTAAAAGCGCAAGTGGTGTGGATCGGGAAGCAATAATGCATTTTGTTAAAACTTGAATTTATGAAATTATACATATTTTCTTGCCTCCTAAGCCAATGTTTCTCAGCGGATTTTACGATGCCAGAAGTCTCGAGAGAGGCCTTTCAAAGTTCAGTGAGTTGTCATATGATTAAAAACTAATATTTAAATCGGGAGTATTCATTTGAAATTTTATATGATAAAACTACATTTGCTTATTCTGACCATTATTAGCTTTATTACCACCGAGTGTATGAAGCTTTTTAGCCTAAATATTACCTTACCGTGAACGTATAGTTTATAGTGAATACTTAGGCTCACAAATTTCTACCTTATCAATTTATACTCTATCAAAGTATAAATACTACATTAAAGGAATTTTATTAGGAATTAGGAAAATATTTTTATGAAAGGAATTCTAAATTCTAAAGGAAGAAACAAAATTGGAAATTTTCTAGACACTTGTATTTTGTTTCACACTTGATATTTCGTGCGAGTGAAAAGAGTCGGTACTTACGTATTAACGCAACCACCTTAGCGCAGTTCGGAGAATTTTTACTAATGAAAAGGTAAAAGTTACTTACCGAGTGCAAGTTGGTAGTTTTCGCTACTTTTTTTTTTACAAAAGATTCACAAACTTTCGATATGTATTGCACGTGTGCAAATTATCAACATTTGAAAAGGAAACACCCTTCAGTAATTTAAAGTGTTAATTTTAACTATTAAATAAATATTTCGTTGTACATTAAAAAATAAAATACATTTTCCCCCAAAATTTCTGTAATGTTTTGTACTATTCTTCTCCCCAAGTACACAGCGATCTGTTTACATTTTAAAAAGTCAGAGAACTGCGGAACATCGCGTTAACTCCGGTACCATTGGCTATCTACAAAACGTATCTCCTCATTGTTCTCTTTAGAGATTTTCCGTCAAAATTCTGCTTTTCTGAAGAAATTTACCGCAGTTTCTTCTATCACCGAAATATTCCCGTATTTGCATATTTTAAAATTAAGGCATAAATTATCACGATTTGTTTATAAAAGCCGTTGGAATACAACAGAAAGAACATATGCAAAAATGCAAACGTTGCTTCACTGAAGGATTATTATGCGCATTATGGCATTATGGTTGCCAGAGTTCGTCAGATTCCGAAAATTTGGCGACTTCTACTAAGGTGGGTACGATAAAACATAAGGACTAAAGATTCTTACAAAAACATGTGATTTAAACATTGACTTCAATAAGCAGATTCGCATAACATTTTCTGTTCAAAAGATGAACTGCCGACTACAATTTGTGTTATTAAATCAACACTTACTTTTCCGTTACCGGAAGAATTAATAGATATTGTTCAAAGGTTCTTTGGTACCTGAAAATTATTTTGAAATTTTATATAATTTTGTAATACAGCCTATGAAAGGGCCTCTGTATTTAAAACCTTTTCTCTTCACGCTGTATTTTAATTAGCTTTCTTCAGGATGGCTCAAAATATTGAGTAGTCTAAAAGTTCTTTCTCTAAGTAGCCTATATTGGCGTTTCTTGCAATAGTATGTAAACTATTTCTTCCTTCTTGCCGTATGATTTTTGTGGCGTAACTGGAAGCACTCCCCGTTAGCAGTGTGATGTTCGGAGTTCAAGTCCTGATGAAAGCATTGCATGTTTTTCTTCTTTGAAAAACATATTCACTCTATAAGGCCAGAAGTATGGTATATTAATAAGCCAGCTATCTAGCCAGAAAATTTTAATAACTTCACTGCATTGATACATTTAAATACACTTTTGCCTATGTGATAAGAATATTACAAATTTCCATAAAAAATCTAAAATTTTACATCAGATCTCTTACTATTTATTAATTGGTTGAAACCTCCATCATCTCTCTCATAGGTCAAACGCCAAGTCCCCGCTAGATCAGGGGGACAACTAGGATTCCCTCTGTCCAGGCGCCGGCAGTTTCCCCCTCCTGAAGAATTAGAAGAAATTGAAGAATATGATAACAGTGAAGAAGAGAAAAGACCAGTCTCGCATTTCCGTGGAAGGCAACCTCCACCCGAAGAAGACTATTCTGAAGAATTTTCTTTCACGGAAGCTCCTAAAACGACTACCCCGACACCACAGAGACCGACTTCAAGAACAGTAGTCTTTAATAATAGGTGATGATTATATACCTTTTGCATAACTTACTGTTTTATATTTATTTATTTCAGTATTCATATAACTTCAAGAAAGCTGAAATTTCATATGAAGTTTTGTAGGTAATTTTTAATAAAGCCAGCTATCTAGCTAACCTGCTTAGGTTGACCTTGCTTAAAGGCGGTGATTTATTATTCATTTAAATATTAATAGTAAGAAAAGATATAGTAACGAACTAAATAAACTATTTACTGAAATTATATTTAACAATAATAATATTAATAGTTATTTTAACAAAAACCGAGTAGCTTCTTAACTTTCATTTGAAAATTGACTGAAATACTAATTGCAAATTTATTAACAGACAATGTCAAATATTAACGCATTCAGTTTTCAGTAAACAGGATGGTTAATTTAAACTGAACCTTTTCACCCAAATCTAATGCTACAATTAGTAAATCAAACCAGCTAGTTGCTTCAAGCGTAATATCAGCTGTTATTATCTGCCACGAGCTTTTTTTATCATCGAGACAAGAGCAGAAGTTCACGGATTAAAAAGATTTGATTTTTCCTGTTATTTCCTATCCTATGCTTGTATCTTGATAGCCATTACACTTTCCACTAGCGTTAAGTTTGAAAGTCAGAACGAATGACAAACTCGCTCATGAAAAGTCTTACATTATTAAATAAAAAATGCATTGAAATTAAAAATTTTCATTTTTGAATTCCTAAAAAGCAGAAGAGCTTCTGAAGATACACTTAAGCTTCGTTTCCTTTCATTAAAGATATTATATATACATACTACGTAGGTACACACCTATATAGAGAAGATTCTTATGAATGATTTATTTTCGTTATGATGTATCCTTTTTAAGTATTTCCAACTACAGAGCTATGTGTATTTAATATTTTGTTAACTTTAATGTCTTTGAGATATGAACTTAGAATGGCATTTCTCACGTGATTCTTATGCCATTTTTGTTTCGTTCACAAGCATAAAACATCATGTTAAAACGGAGAAAAAAGATTTAATCGTGCAAATTTCTTACTGAACAGCAGGAATCAAAAATCTTCATATGTATGGACATTAGAATCCCACAAGTAAATGCATTTGTAATTAAAAAGAAAACTTATTTGACTTCCCATAAAAAAGCAGCCATTCTATTTACAGGCTTCATATGGTATTTTGGCAATAATATTTTAGTTTTATTTGATATTAATTCATACGTATATTTTAATGCGAAAAAATACTACTAATTATATACATTATTCTTTATCTATATCTAATTATATACATTATCCATATACATTATTCTTTATCTGTAGCTTAAAGAATAATGTTATGTATTTTAATGGAAACAACCAGCAAAAAATAATAATAAGCATTATTCTGAGTAACGAAGTAAAGAGTATAATGGTATCATAAGACATGGAAGTCGTTTTTTTGAGCTTAACTATTAGATAAGGAAGTAGAGAACTTCAAAGTTACAAATTTAAAAATGAAATAACTAGGCTTTGGAGTATTTCACTTATATAGTAACATAATTCTAAGAAATAATTAGCAAAAGAAATCAAGACGATTAATTAGTCACTTTTTAAAAGACCTTTCATGAATAAATTTAACATGAAGACGAAACGAGACAGGATACTTTGATATTAATACTATATTTTATTGGACAATATTATAGCTATCCAAAGGAATTATCAGATGGTAAATAAAGAACTGGTTCATTCTGCCCTTCTTAGAAGTATCGAAAGCTAGTACATTGAACCATCCTTGGGCAACGCCTACCATCTTGCCTTGGAGAAAAGAAAGAGGAACTGGTCCTTAGTTTGCCCACCTTTGCTTTCATCCATCGAGCGTGCAGGAATGTCCCTTCTTTGTAATGCTATTTACATCTCTGTAACTTGCAGTGTATATACACACTTTACTATGGTAACACTAAGTACACAATTTGAAAAATATCTGCAGATACAGAAATGTAATTCATATGAATGGTATATTAATAACAATAAGGAAGCTGGGTTTAAAATTAGACAAAAAAATCAACATTATATTGATGCTGGGTTTGTAGAACAAATTTAATACATTATAAGAGAGACTGATGCGGAACATTTGGTTTCTAGACTGTATGCCATATTAATGCTGTATATCATATTTATTAATAATATGTAACTTATGCCTTATTTGCGCTGTTTTACTTATCTCAGATGAGGCACAATTTGCACACACAATCAGACAATATATAAATTAATTACTTTTTCTGATAAGCTTGATAAGAATTGAAAAGTATGTAGTATGTAATGCATCGATTGAAATATGATTTGCTGTAAATTACGCCCTCAACGTTTTTCTCTAAGTCATTGGTGAATTATCTAGCAAACAATTATATTCCTATTCTTTTGTTCGATTTGTAGAGAAAGTATGCTTATCATTTCCAACTCATCAAATTATATGTAAGAACATAGTTAAATTTCTTTGTTACTAGTTTCTATTATTATTTTCAGTTATATAGATCTGATATGATATATAGATCTGATAGTTCGTATTACAAACGCCTGATTGATTCAGTTTCTGTCTTATTAGTTTCTACTAGTGTTATTTGAATTTGTATTGGATTTATTAGATTACCGCAAAGCACATCCTGATTAAATTTGTATCTGACCATTCAAATTAATTTTCTTTCAAATGTACATCCGTGATAACTGAAACTTAGGATTTATTCGAAGAACAGGTTCCGCATAAATCACAGCATTTCGCATGAAATGCTAGAAGTTTAATTTGTTTCAGTTTTTCTGCTAGTCTTGCATCTGATATTTGACTTCGCTTTATTTGCAATTTGCTTTTCAAAACATGCCAGATAACGACTGCGGAATTCCTTGTTTCCGACTATAACAATCTGCTTTTTTTCCTTGGAAAGGAAATGTGTCCTATTCTTTTAATTTTTTGTTAACAACTCAAGGTGTTCATGTATTCAGTGTATTTTCACTCGCAGTGACAATATTATCTGTAAATTCTCTTAATGAAATATTGATCAGCTTCGCATTGTATATATAACTGAGGTTAAATTATAATTATTAAATTAAATCTAAAATATTACCGTATGGAAGATGACTTCAGCTGTGGAGTCGCCATTTTCTTAAAAAGATTCTTCCATATACATCAATAGTGAAGTAGTAGAGTTATTTTTAATGGTATTCTAAAACACGTAAATTTTTTCATTTCATACATATTAATTTCAAACACTTTAAATAGGTAAGGAATAACATGTATCTAAAAGAAGATAAATCATTTTGAACAGCTCTGTATTTAAGTATTATTACGGTGATATAGAATGAAAAGCTATCTCTTTAACTTGCATTTTGCTTTATAGATTTGCCGGAAGACCTAGGTTTGGATCTCAAAGCTCTACCACTACCACAACTCAAACACCTAAAATGTCCCCTGCATTCTCATCAAGGCCTCGTTTCAGAGCAGCGACACCCGCTCAAAGCCAACGCTTTGATGTGGTCGCTAACATTCTTAACAAGCCTCCACCTCCTCGACCGTCTGCACGGACCGTCGTTGCTACAAGAACCGAGAACGAAGACAAGAAGCCAGCAGCTGAAACCAGTGATACAGCGACCAGGAGGTAAAGTATAATTAAAAATAGAGATTTATTATAAAGCAGTTACAATAAAACACACTATTTACAAAATGGAACATGGCCTACATTAAACACTTTATTTATTTTTGATGTATTTCATAATGAATTTAAGGAAGTATAAATTTATTTTGATTTTAATTTTTGAGTTTTTAATAAAAGTTATCAAATTACAACAAATAAATTAATATGATACAAAATTTGACTTTAATTTAAACACATTGAAAAGTAAAAATTTAAATTTAATTTATTTAAGCTAAATCTGAATGATTACCATAAGATTTTTTTATATTAATATTGTAAGCAGATAATTCCCTCTCAACGATACAAAATTTTAATTTATATCTTTTAAAGAGTTACCGTTATAAGCCAAAATCAACAGGCTTTCAGATTTGATATCAATTAAACTTGTTTTCAATATAACTTGGGTTTGTAAAATCAATAGTAAAAACTTATTTTCTACAGAATAATAAAGATCATAAATAAATTTAAATTGACCTAGATAAAGTAAAACGTCTTTAGTCTAAAGGGACAGAAAATAATATAAATAGCCAGTTTTCACATGAACTAAATTCTTGTATTTACTAAATTTACTCAAATAGAAATGTACCAAGAAAAAATTAAATTTATTTGCTAGGAGCGTGGACGTTAAATTAGTTAGCATCTGCAAGGGTGCCTCATGCGGCTCAAAGCAATGTTATGGGGCCCGCGAATACATTTCCCATAAATCAATTAGCATTATTGTGGCAAGAATTGGTAAAAAAAATAAGATTGTAATGGCTTGGTATATAATTTTGCATTATTCTCATTATCGAAATCGAACTTGAGTACACTTCGGAAAAACTAGAAATGAAGTTATTTAATTTACATTCCATATAAAGCTTATTCAAAGATTTCAAAACGCAATTTCATTAGCTTTTATTATACTTGTTAATAGATAAATATCCTTAATTAAGAATTTTTGCAGTAAGAAAAACCGCTTTGTTTGGAAAAACATTTACGTATAAACAGTTCTTTTCCGTAGTTGAAAGTTAATAAGTCTACAAAAGAACAGATTGTCGATGAATATCAGCATTTTGTGATTAAGATACTTTCTAATAAGTTTCCTCGAAAATTACAAACTTTACAAAAATCACAGTACGATGAGATGTTGTAGCTGAAATGCGTAGAAACAAAAAGGTTTATAATCATTTATATACGAGTATGTATTTTTTCTGAATACGTCATAGAAAAATCTAATAAATAAAAGAAAGAGAATGCTTGCAGTTATTTATTCTCAAGTTTTGTTTCCCTTGGGAAATTTTCTTATATTTCCTTTTAGTTTTAGGCTAAAAGTAAGTTATTTAGTGATTACTTCATTATTTTAATTATTTGAACAGAAGTCAGTCTGAAAATGTTGATATTTAGCTGTCAGTCCGTTTGAATTACAAACTGCGCACAAATTTTCTTTCAAATTTCAGCAGAAAATAAGTATAAATTTCAATTTTTTTGCGTCATTTTTATTTGTATGTTTTGACATATATATATTACGAACTTTTAAAATTTATAATAAATTTTATTTTGTTATTTTTTTCTCTTTTTTTTCTTACAATTGCTTCCCTTCAGCTACTTTCAGATCGTACATTTGATCCAAGTTCAATCTGAGTTTGAGAGCAGTGCACTACTTCATTTACTTAAGCTGGTACAAGTTGTATTATATATTAAGTTTTCTGCATAACAGGCAAAAAAATTGAATAAATCATATCATGTTCTCTAATTATTTTATCGATTCCTCAATATGAATACTGATTTCATCTACATGATATAATCTTTTGTTTATAATTCACCCCTAGAAACTTACTAGTAAGTTAGTCTCCATTTATATGCACATAACAGACTCTGTTCAACTAATTGTAAGTTTTGTTTTTGTATGCTAAGCTGCAATCTGAAATTCTAATATTCATTTTAATATTTCAGTTGCTAACGTCAAATATGTTTCTTCTGTGTTTAAATTTAATCTTCTTTGTCTTTTTATTATTTAACTTACTGAGCGAAACTTTTATCTGAGAATCTTTTGGATTTTCGAAGATCTGTGGTCTGTTTTCGAAGTTTTAACTTTGGTGCATGCTGAAATTTGAAACAAAGCAAGTTCTCATTTACTGACATTATTTAAAGGCTTCGGATGGATCTTTAAATATTATTTACGGAACCTATTTTTAATGTATACCTTTTCATTATGGTAAATTTTTAGTGAGCGAAAATATTTATTTTGTAAATCCATGGATTGGCTTTCTTTTTCACAGGAGTTCTAACACTCGTGGGAGAGCCAGAGGAAGGCCTAGATTAAGAACTAGCAGCACTACAACTACTACGACGACGACAACAACGACAGAGAAACCATTAGAAGAAGAATATTACTATTATTATGAAAGTGAGGAAGATCCAAATGAACCAATTGCAACCACAACATCTACCACCACTACGACAACTACTGCCCGTCCAGCATTTTCAAAACGGCCAACCTTTGCTCGACGTCCTTCAAATGGCAAAAGCAGATCGACATCTCGGCCTGTCATCAAGTTCGACCCTGAATCTCAATTTGCACCACCACCGGAGGATGTCATTGACATCATTTCGGAACCCTCATCTACCAAAAAATTCACTACTAGTACCACCACCGCAGCGCCCCCGGGAGGTATACCTCCACACCTGAGGAACAAATACAAGCCGCGTACTGATGGTCGATTCATTGACTTCTTGAGAGACCCAAATCGTCCAAGAGAACTTAAAGGATTTGATTTAACGGACTATCCTTTCTACATTAAAGTACCTGAAGACATCGATTTCGACTGCGAAAACATGAAAGATGGATACTATGCAAGTGTGCCACATAAGTGTCAGGTATGTACCTCAAATACAGTTTTACAACAGAAATTTCTTCCTTATATGTTTATGTATTTCTACAAAGTAAAAAGGTACTATAATTGTTTATAGTTCTACATTCTTCATACTTGTGGAAGAAAGGCTGAATGTCTATTGGACTGAAAAATCAAATCTCAATTTGTAATAAACATAAAAGTGTTCTTAAACAGCATACTAAAATTCTTAAAATATTGTATACGATGTTATGATACAAAAATGTTTTTTTTTCTGAAAATATTCGGAGGCGTTATATTTCTAAATTTTTATCACAGTTTGATATCACGTTTACAAACTAATGTAATACTTCAAATACTTTTATTAAAGAAATGATTGTAAACTATGTCAAAACGTAGGGATTACGAGCAATTATGTAAAATATTTTCGGAAAGTTTTAACTTTCTGACATAAGAAGAAAGAAATTATAATTCCTTCCGTTAATTTTAAGCAATCGGTAAATATGACCTGATTTTTAACCATGCTTCTTTTATTTGAAAAATAATTCTAGTTTTTCAAATGTAATATTTTTCAGCATTACTGTAGTTAAGAGATGTAAATTAATGTATACCTTAGGAAATTTTAAATAAAAAAAACTCTAATTTTTGCTGGTATGCTTAGAAAAACGTCTACTTTAAGATGACGGTAAAAATTTTTTAGGTTATAATTCAAATTTTTTTTCCCAAAAATTTATTAAAATTACTTAAAAATACAAATTTTAAAGGTAAATAATAAATAAGGGTGAATTTTATTTGGAATGAACCTAAATTTCGGAATGTGAAAGGAAGAATGAAATAAGTTTAATAAAAAAAGAGATATTAATAAATATATATCAAAATTAAATTAACATTGATGAGCTAAAATTTTCCGAGCTAATTTTTTAAAAACTAATCGTGAGAATTTTTACAAAACTTTGCAGCTTGGCATAATTTGAGTCGTAGGATAGAAATATGGAAAAAAAAATAGCATGTCATTTCATAAAAAAGTCCGATCCTATATTAGATCAATGCTGCATATACAATTTAAAATATATCCTAAGTCGCTCTTTCCAGACGTGAAAAACGCAATTTGAATTTCGTCAATCGGCCCTGTAGAATGAAAAAAAAAAAAAAAAAAAAAAAAAAAATGTGGAGAACTATGGTCTTTTTTTTTTCCCCCTCCAGTGTGCGTTTGTTCTTGCCTGATCTTTGTCCCAAACCTTAAGTGAATGCTAGCGTGGAATGTATGTTTGTAACTATATGATTACTTTCATTATCAAATATAGATGATTCCATTTAAATTTACCGATTATGATGTTGCATAACCAAATCTTACCCACAGTGTAATTTTTTCCATGTGGAATTTAAAATAAGAACAAGAAAGAGAAATCTAAATCACTAATAACATGCGGAAATTCAACTTTGCTATCCACTGGATTAGTGGCATTTAACTTTCAAATTATTTTACGTTTTCTTCGAATTCAATTTTTAAAAGATTTTAGCCTACATTGTCTAATTCACACTCGGAAATGCAAAAATATGTAACCGCAGGTAAAATAGCAAGTTCTAACAAAGATAGCAAGCAGATCTCCTCAAAAAATTCTTTTAAAGCAGGTCTTATGCCATCTGTTGGTTTTAATAATCAACTTTTAACTGTACAGAATAAGTGTCTTCAGTACTTAATTCTGTATAGTGAAAAAGAATTGGCACTATATCTCTTCAAACTGTAAAATCGTGTTTCACTACTCCCATTATTACTTTGTAATATTTAATAACTGAGCGGAAACTATTACATGAGAATTATAAACTTGTTGACCTATGATTCCATTAATTAAAAATCTGAAATAAAAGATTTTAAAATGAGCGTATTTCGTAGGATCTGTAAAATATATGCATGATCAGCATTTCTTAAAAGCTGCCCGTGGGCGCTAACATGCCTTGATTTTCATTTACCCATATTCTTTAGCTTTCACGTACACAATCGATTGCAGCATATCAGCATGCAAAAGATTCATGCTTAAAATAATTAGAGCAGTTTATTTAAAAATAGATGAAATATTACCCGTGACTTAAAGAGTGTGTTGAAAAGATCACATGACCAATTATTATAACATACGGTCAGAGACACATGATCCCAGCTTAAGAAGCGAATGAAATAAAGCAGGCTTTCTTAGTATGAAAATTTTGGTTATGTGATTTTTTATTAAAAATAAAAGGTATTCAGATTTTCTATACGAGCTTTCTGTGACAAAATTTTCAGTTCGTAAATTGTTTTCCGTTCTACTAAAGAAATCTTAAAATTTTAACAGAATGCAGATATTTCTACTTCAGTAAAATTGTCAGAATTGTATAAATTAAAACAATTTACTTGGCGAAAAGAATGATTTATTAAGATCTCGTGAAACTGAATTATATTAACTGCAAATTCGGAAACTTTGAATTTCTAGAAATGTAAATTTGAAAGTATGTAGTGTTTTTCTAACGTAAAAAGTGTGTTTTAGTAACTCATGATTGAATAATGAACATGTATAAACACCTTTAAAAATATTTATATATGATTCTGAAAACAAATTTTAATCGAGAAACGATGTTCTTATTTGACATACATGCCTACAACAAACTTTGTATATTCTTTTGTGATGCATCACATGATAAAAAAAAAAAATTTCATAATTTGAAAAATTAATTTTCCTAATTTCGATTAAAGTTTTCGTAATTTTTTCTTGAAGCTACGGGTCTAGGTTCAAGGAATATTTAGTCCATCGAGTTTTAAAACTCTTTTTCATTAAAAATTTTAATAATCGACACCTACTTCGCATATTCTGTTTCCAGTTTTCCTAAAGCCCACCAGCGGCCGAGCGGTAAAGTCGCTGAACACTGGTAGTTCGGTCCGAGGTTCGAATCCCGCGAACGGGCTGGCTGCATGGGCGTTTTCGTGGTTTTCCACATGTGTAACGTGTATACGAGCCAGTTCCCTTAGAACGTCCTCCACGAAGGCATTCCTCCTCTTAGGCAGATAGCCCTCGAGGCGTTGCCATAATCACACACACACCAGTTTTCCTAAAAATATTCTTTTTAAATTGATGTAGTATACAAATGGAAAACCGTAATTGTATGTTTTAGTAACACAATTACGGTTTTCCATTTGTTTTCAATTTCTCATTTGAACTAGATTGAACAAGATTTTTCAGTTTTTCTAGTCTTAAGAAACAAACTTGTAAAAAGAACTTGAAATAAATGTTCTTAAGCATAAATATGTATTGTCTCATTTAATCTATTTCTCAAGAATTTCTTTCTTAATGAGCTTCCCGTTATAAAATATAGTGCATTCTCACAAGCAACTTAATTTTTATCATTAATTTTTATTAAAAGTGGTATTTTCAGCAAAACAAGCTTATTATTGAAGTAGTTTTGATTTTGCGAATTTCAGCAAAACAAGCTCATTATTGAAATAGTTTTGACTCAGTTTGAAATAGTTTTGACAGTTGAAATCATGTTTCATTATCATAAGTTATAAGGTATTTCACCCACCTTCGTGGTGTAGTAGTCAGCACGCTCGGCGTGTATTCTAGAGGTCCGTGGTTCGATTCTCGGCGAGAGCATTGCTCATTTTTCACTTCTTCTGCTTTAAACAAAAAAATACGTAATGCCTCTACAGTGGCGCCCGAACTAAAAAGGATAGTGGATGATGATTCTCCACCACCAGGATTTGGCTATTGTGTTCCCTAATCCCCAGTCGCTCTTTAAAAGAAGAAATATATAAGATATTTCGCCCATCTTCTTAGCATGCTTTCGTGGTGTAATGGTCAGCATACTCGACGCGTATTCGAGAGGTCCATGTTTCTAGTCCCGCCGAGGGCATTGCTCATGTTTCATGACGCCTGCTTCGAAATAACCTAATGCCTCTACAAAGTTAACTATTTCACAGTTTAATAAATATTTAATGTATATCTTTATGTTTAAATGAGTTGTTTTATACTAATGCCTCGCAGTTTAAAGGAAATCTCTATAAAATTTATATAATGAAATTGCCGTACTTCCTTGATTTTAAGACAAACCTCTTTTCTCATATAAATATGCTGATGCAATGCGATGCAGGTTCTTAGAAGCAGCTAAAACCTAGAATTGAAAAGTTTCCTGAATTCTTTATTATTCCGAGACAATCAACTTGCCAAATTAATAATTTAAATAGATGTACTATTTTTCTTGATGAATCAAAGTCTACTGTTAAAAAAAATTCTTAGTTATATTTTAGCTTTTTATTTCATGTGCGTTGTATACCTAGAATCTAAGCTTTTTGCGTTTTTATTGTATACCTAGAATCTAAGCGATTCCTAGAATCGAAAAAATACATTAATATTAAAAATCGGTTCATTTTAAAAATTTGTTTGCATTAACTTATTTCAGGTAAAATAACTGTAAGAGATTAAACCAAACTTTCGAGTACATTTACGAGTTTTACAATACTGATTCGTCTTATGTAACTATTATAAAATTTAGTACCATTCGTTCAAAAGAATCTGAATTTTTAAGGACTTTCAGAAGATATTTGGAAATAAACGATTTATAGCAGTTGAGTAACCTTAATATGTTACGAAAGATTAAAATCCGCACAATATGCATATGAATTATTCTATTCAAGATTGAAAATCCTCCTGTTTTATAAAACTGTTTACACTTTTTGTTATGCATGAAAGATGATTACTTATGTGTAAAACAAAACACAGTGGGGTTATAAAAATATCCCTGATGTATGAATCTCTAGTGGCCTATACGCTCAACCAATCAAAATAGAATTTCAGATATTCATATTTAAAGATATGTGCTCGAGATTGTAATGATTCAAAGCAATAGACCTCTCAAGGTTACGGTTGCAATGAAAACATTATTTATGAATGGCAACACACTTTCATTCCTGCGAAAATTGTTCAGCATATTGAAAAGTCATAAATGGCCTTGGAATGATAAATGTGTGATGAAAATTTCTGGTGTAAAACATTTGCAAACAGCATTGGAAAGGACCAACGACAGCACAAGAGAGGAGAGGAAAAAAATTTTTATTGGAATTACAAGTTTTCAAACGTGCCTACATTCTCAGACATAACGCATTGCACGTGACAGATTGTTGACAACAACAACGAACATAACATCTCAAGAAGAATCTGCATAACTTCCCGTTTGAGGCATCTTTTAATTCTGAAAAATCTCTTAGATTTAATGTGTACGCCTCAGATTTCAAGTAATACCAGAACCAGAAATCTATCGAATTGAGGCCGGTGGTCTCGAAACTGCAATGTAACGGGAGATGAAAGTGCTGTTGCTACATTTTCGGAATACATATGGCGACGCGTGTAGGAGTACCATCTTGCATCAATACAATGTTATTAACGATATTTCGCTGCTGGAATTTTGGAATTGTGTAATTCTGCAACATTCTCAGATATCGAGCTTACAATGCCGCATCACACAGTCACTTTAATTTCGCGTTAAGGCGTTGGTGCCACATCGTGAGGATTTTCGTCAATCCCATGAACGCAGTTCTTGGAATTTACGTTCCCGATTAAAGAGAAATGCATCTTATATGTCCACAATATCCGCAGCGGTCACCTGCTGTCTTTATAATATCTGATGAGAAAAAAACTTCACAAAGCCGACACTTTTTTTGCCCACAAACTCGTACTGCTTCGGCAGCATTTTCCTCTTTCGGAAAAGCAGCTTTATCAATTCACTTTGTTGTTTCCCCGTAAGAGTTATCTTGTTAGCACTTTGAAAACCTGCTAGAAGAAACAATCTTCCCACACTGCTTATTAAAGGTTTTCCCCAAGCAATGCTTTGCACATGGTATTCTGTAATTGGTGCTTCTACTGTTTGCCCATATGATTTATATAAAATGCGTCAGTGCACCTCCTTTCTGTGTTGTCATTCGTTCTTTACAATGGTCTTTTTGAAAAGATTTCTCGCTGCAATTTTCTTCATACGTGTATCGTTCCAAAGTCATTTATGACTTTTCAATACGCTAAACAATTTGCTCAGGAATTAAAGGGTGCTGCCAGTCGTAAATCTCGAAATGTTTTCACTGTAGCCATAACTGTGAGAGCTCTAATGTTTTAAATCAGTACAATCTCGAGACATACCTTCAAATAACAATATCTGAAATATCATTTCTGTTGGTTGCACGGATAGGCTGCTGGAGGTCATATATCGGAATTTTTTATGGCTATTCTATATATATACATATATACTAATTAAAATACTGACTAATTTTTGTTTTTAAAGTAATAGAGGTTTAGAAAATAACAATTTAAATATTAATAAAATACTGACTGAATTTTTTTTAAATTTCTGTTTCTTGGAGATGGTATATAAAAGTATTCTAATTGTAAATTATTGGTTTATATATATATATTATTTTATAGGCCATATAGTTTATATATCATTAGCTTTTATATCTGCATTTGTATATTTGCCCATTGTTGTAATATTTAAAAAATTATTTCAATATTTCAAATTTAACTTTTCTTCTAATGTTATTAAATAAATCTTTTGGTTTTAGCTTTTCCACTACTGTTTTGCTGGAGCTCGGTATGATTTCTTATGCGCCAATTATACTCTGTACGATCAAACGACATTCACTTGCCGATTTGCCAACAACGTTGACTGTCCAAGCTCCGAGAAATATTACTACAGAAATGATGATCTTTGGAAAGAAACAACAACTCTTGCTCCCGAAACAACGACGAAGAAGAGAAGGACAACGCCGAAGGATGACGATTACGATGATGAGTATGATTATGATGAGGACTACGAGGAAGAACGAAGAAGGAATAGGAGGAGACGTAACAGGAGGAAAAACAGACGGAAGCCTGCTGAGGAATAAAGCATCTGTGCGTATTTTAACGATACCGTTGAAATGTTTCGCTGCATTTTAATGAAACGTTTTCTTTAAAATGTAGTGATTAGTATCGGACTTCGAAAGAACAGTTCGATGTTTATTTCGTTGTTAAAAATTTGTTGCCAAATGACTGCTATTCGCCAGTCGAATGTAAGATCCTTCCTTGTAAATAATTTTTGAATTCTTTTGCTAAAAGTGGAAGCGAAATTTAGAACACGATAGCACTTCACGAAGCAAAAGAATGTACGTGTTTATCTGCACACTTTTCTTTTTTTTTCTTTTCTGAATAATAGAATTGAAGCATAATGAAATTTTGGCATTGAAATACTATTAATACTGAAGCATTTTTAAGAATTAACAAGTCTTTATTTTTATTCCTTATTTACTTCTCGTTTACTAATATCTCAGGCATAAGTATTGCAAATTTAATGATATTTTTATTGCATAATGGGGAAATTATATAGTGCTATATTTGGACATTTATTAGTACGCAGAAATAAAAAATTTTGTTTTTTGTGTTTAAAGACATAAATGATGTCATTATATGTGGATAGAACACTAAAATGAATTAAAAATTGATTATTTGTTTGAATATTTTTAGGTTTTGGAGAAAATTTGCAAAATAAATGTAAATAAAGTGAAGCCAAAACCGAATTTGCTGATCCCCTCAGTAGGTTTCTTTAAAAATGTTCTGATATTTTAAAATTTGTTTTGTGAAAGAGACATTTTTGTGAAAGAAAATAAATATTTTGTTGGCTAACAACGGCTTTTATTTCTTATTTTAATCACACAGCGTCGTATAAGACTACTTTAAAAAAATACAAAATATAACACAAATTTAGCCCTTATACCAATAAACGGATACTATTTGCCTGTATCTTAAGCTTAGAGCATTTTTTTATTCTAATCAACACGTGCCGAACCCTCTGAAGCCGAAGTCTCATTATTTGCAAACTTCTCATTCAATTATAAGATTCAATTTTTTTTCAAAAATTATTACTCTTTCCACCAAATATTTACTAATTTTAATGAATAAGAAGTTATCTGTATGTCCTTGAGCTTTTTTATTTAAAGATAAAATATAATCATTTGTTTAAGCAAATATACTACGTGATATATAATAAATATAATTTGAAATGGTGATCGTAGACAGATTATAAAAGCTGATATATTTCTATTTAATGTTATACGTTTCTACTACCTTTGAAAGACATGCGGAATACAAACACTTATCGCAAGTGGCCTTTCAGTATTTTTCACAATATCAATAATGTTTTATATTTCAATATTTTCTTGCATAGTTTCTCAAAAGCAAACTACAAATCTCATAAATTCCGACAGCTGTTTTACTTCTAGTTTCATATCATACCTGGAGCAATTAATGGTGTCGTAATGGTACAAATTCTAAGCCAGCATGTGGGAGTTTTCAGAATACTTTTAGTACCTGATCTATTAGAAGACTGATTCGCAGTTTGAAGAGCTAAGTCACTGATCTTTACAAACGCTTGTAACATAAACGCTTATAAATGCTGAATATAATTATCAAAACAAATTTTCTGGTTCAGTGTTTTTTTCTTGAGAGGTAATCATTATCATCGGTACCAAAAATTTCGCAGAAATTAAGAATTGCCTCGAATGATTTTTAAAGATATTCCGCTTCTTAATCTTGGAAATTAGTAGTTTTAAATCTATCAATAAATACTAAGAGAAAGTTTCCTTTCTCTTTGAAAGCAATACATATGTTTACCAATATGTATTTTGAAAGAAATGTATATATTGCTTTGAAGATGTTTCTTCCAACAAATTATCAAAAGAATAAACAGAATAAAAGCATTACATGAAATTAAAAAATTTACAATCTATAATAACATCTGTTTTGTTCACAGATAAGCATGTCTGCTTCCTGTAAAATATTATCCCAAATTAGCTTGGTGGCTTACGCAAAATCTAACTGTCAAACTACTTCATCTGTTTCCACACAAAACTGAAAAACATAATGCTTATAACCTACATGGCCATCTCTTGTACATAGCAGTACCAATATAGTATATATATATATATTATATATATATATATATATTGGAGTCAAGAGTTAACAGTAATTTTTGTTTGGTGAGCTTTTACAATTCGACTTGAATAAAGCTATTTAGAAAAGAAGTATATTTTTATTAAAGTAAGTAAATAACACCGCAACAAATGGAACTGAAATCAAATGAAATATTACCAAGTAATTCAAAACGCCATTTTCAATATATTTTCAATTAAATACTCTGTAGAGACATAAGGTATTTTTTGGAAGCAGGAAAGATGAAAAATTATCAAAGTCTTCGCCGGGAATCGAACCGCGGACCTCTGGAATACCGGCGCAGTGTGTGGACCACCACACCACGAAGGCACGCCAAGAAGGTGGGAGAAATACCTTATAACTCTTACGCATATTTTTAATTTGAAAGATTAAAACCTAATGAAGGAAATTGAGGATATTACGAGCGTTCACAACAAGCTAAAATTTCACCAAAGCAGTCCTCGGTGATTCTGGTATTCAACTGTTCGTAAAGATTGCTGTGAGTCTCTTTGTTTCTGCTACGATTGCATTATTTTTGTAATGCAAAAAGTGCGTTTGCGACAGCCCAGATATGGATATGATACGTCCAATCTTCTTATGATCTCTTCCAAATTTGGATATAATACTTTATAAGGGTGTTGGATGACGATTCTCCACACCCAGGATTTGGCGATTGGGTCCCCTAAAAACCCCAATCGCCCTTTAAAAGGAGTAGTATATAAGGTATTTCTCCCGCCTTCTTCGCGTGCCTTCATGGTGTGGTGGTCTGCATGCTGGGCGCGTATTCCAGAGGTCACCGGTTCCGGTGAAGCCGTTGCATATTTTTCATCGCTCCTGCTTTAAAAATTATCTAACGTCTTTACAACTTAACCTAAAATTTATTAAGCCGAAATAATTTTTATCGTGGGACCGGTTTCCAAAAAACACCAACTCTCTCTTTCCTTGACTTCAGCACTATACAACTCATTCTCATACTTTTAGAAAAAATAAGGAGATATGCATAAATGCATATACCTCAAAGCTTAACGTAAGAGTAGATAGCCTTTTCTATTCTGTAAAAAGAAGTAGTATAGAATATGAACATGGCTGCATTCAAATTAAAAATATGGAGAAAAAGCGTTTTCGAGCCCTGAAGTATAAAATTAGGCAAAACAAAGCAGGTGTTCGGTTATTTAATTAAAGGGAGGTTTTTTTAGCATTCACACAAAGACTAATCACTTGACATATGTGCCGAACAGAGACTGCAATGCAGGTAATACTACAAGGGGAAGAAAGTCTTTAAATTGCACAATTCTGCACATAACTGAAACTAAACTGAATCCTAAAACCGAAAGCTTGTTTTAAAATATGGAAATATAATAAAACCTGGTTTTAAGACTGCAGGATGAGCATTTCGATCTTGAAAATAAGGAAAGTTAGATATTTTTCTAGACTTATCTACAGCTGATCTTAATCCAAGAGCGTTAGTAAACGCTGTATGGTTTATAGATGGCAAATAAATTTCAGCCAAATAAATTAATAATAAAAATTTTTTTGAACTACTTCTTTCCTTGCATTAAATTGAACGTCGAAATCGCTTAAAAAGATGTTTCAGCATATTAATGAGTCTTACCAACTATTTGGTACTAAACCATTTATCATAAAGTTGTTTGCATTTATTCTGCCATTGGATAACTGGAGTTATGCAAAATGTCGTTTGGTAATTAGTTAGAGCAGTCCCTGTTTCTGCAGTTATTGCTTTATTTTGGTGCAAATGGAAATAAATTATAGTTTATCTGCAACGTTTGTCAAAACCTTTCTAAAGTTAATGAAAGACGTCTAAATACGAAAACCTCTTCACGTCACTCTTCTCGGTGCTGTCATATTGTTGCAGTGATGAAACACATGAAGAACACTACTAACTAATAACTAATTTAGCAATAGTCCTTTTAATCACTCATTTTAATTTGGCTACGTTCCCTTCCCCTCTTAAAAATACTAATACATAAATCTAAAGTGCGCCATATAAAAATTAATCCGCATTACTCCACTACGAAAGAGTAACACTGTGGATACTTTTTTATCTAATCGCATTGCAACATTTAAACAAAGGAATCAAATCTACAAATACCGCTGTTTACTAACTTCGCAGCCTCTTTTCCCGATGTAAATTCTGAACATATCTGATGTTTCTTTACTGAACATAGAGAATATCGTTGCGTAGATTTCTAAGATTTATAACGGAGAAGAAAAACTTTCAGACGTGGCATAGATAACAAGACACAATTCCATTCCTTGGAAACTAATTTTTTAGGACACATATTCTTGTTTACACATCACTATGGGTGCAACAAGCACTCTACAAATTAATATAGGCCAGGTTGGGTATAAGTGCAGGGGCCACTTATTATTTACCCTGAATACGTAGGTAAATCTGATCTCATCTCGAGACACTGAAGGAAACAGAGAAGTAAGCAACAAACGTTAGCAGAGCCAGAGGAAAGCAGAAAAGGTTAGTGCGTATTTGAGCAAAGCAGTATTTATAGAGTTGATATCTTTCTTTAAATTTTGAACGGTGATTCGACAAGAATTATCCCCAATGTTAGTCTTATATAATGGCGCAATGGGAATTAATTTTCAGATGACGCAGATAGGAAGGAAACATAGCCACATTAAAATGAGGAAATAAAACACTATTGTTAAATTAAAGTTAGTAGTTTTCTTCCATATTTTATATCTCACATCCGTTATATTGCATATATATATATATACACTAAATGTTTGTGAAAAATGCAACACCATAAAGGAATTGTCGGAAATGAATGAAATTTTTTCCACATAGTATTACTGACAGTGATACAAATAAATGATCAAATTTATAAGACGCCCCCACCTACCCCCCAAAAAAATGAACACCAGAAATTTGTGTGTCCGTCACGCTGAGTTATGAGAGCCTGTTTATGTCTTGGCATTGAATCATACAGATTCTGAATGTAATATTTAAAAAAGTGATGCTTATCAGAGTAATGTTAAATAGCGCCCCTTTTTGGGTGGTGCTTGCTTGTGGTGCAGGTCCTGCCTATAGAGTCTAAAATATTCAAAACCGATGAGTTACGTTTCGCTTACCAAATTGGGAATTTTCTCTAAAAACGAGAAAGGATTCTTACATATATTATTTAAAAGAAGAAAAAGAAAGAAAGAAAGGAAAGAAACCGTATGCATATGTGACCTTTCTAGCTAGAAGACATTAGTATGCAAAATAATGTATAGATTGTGACGACTGTGACTTCGTATTTCAAGTCTGAAATAAAAAAAAGAAATAATAATAATAATTATAAAAATCTGAAAGCTTTCAGATTTTACATTACGCACAAATGGACTTTTTTAACGTTTTGCGTGCTAACTTTATTTATTAAATATCATGTTCTTCCCCCTTAAACCATAAAATTCAATTCAACAGCAATATCGCAAAATAATTTTTAAATGAGCATATCTTTATAATTTTCGATACACAGTCTCGCGCTCTGAATATATATATATATATATTTTCTTTTCTTTTTTTCTCCGTACAGTTTTAAACTTGCTCGCTTTGAAATTGTTGATTTTGTTAGTCAAAAATTTGTTAAAGTTTTAGAAAATATGAAATAGATAGTAAAACAAATTCTAAATACCAAATTTGGGCTTTCATATGCCCATATTCGGATTGAAACGTACTT